TCATTTACTTCTAGAATTGGTGTTACTTTGAACATGAGCGATTTTATGTAGTTTTTCCAATATAGAAGCATTTGCTTTCTTAAATGAATTAAACTCACCCCCCAGCAACACCCACTCTCTAGAATGACATCAAAACTGAGTTAGAATTCCATGTGCATTCAACTAGAATCAAAATCGGATTAAATTAGACATATTTGCAATGACGATAGTGTAAACTTAGATGTGTAAAACAATTGAATCTGAACTGTATAAAGGCATTAACATTAGAAATTAATTACAAGTAACTTGGAATAGTCAAAGCTATGATTGAATCCAAAATAGAATGCAATAGAACTATATAGATTAGAATTGAATGAGAAACGTCGAATAAAATTCATTACTTAAATTGAAATTGACTTAGAACCAAGGTGGAATTGAATTAGAGTTGTGTTGCCTAGAGCTTGATTAGTAGAACAGTAATGACTTAGATTTAAATTGGAATCTAAGGTCAATTAGAATTGAACTAGATTTACTTCGCAATCTCAATTTTGAATTCAATTATATAAAGTTCAATTAGGATCATTTTTATTTAAAATATAAGCACGTTGCAAATGGAAATTTAGATTTAAGTTTGAATTCAATTAGATCTAAAATAGCCAAACATAATTAAAATTAAATAGCAATGAATACACTATAATTAAAACTGAATTAGAATTTATCTATACAATGAAATTAAGCTAAATAAGTTTAATTTAGAATTCAATTAGGCTCAACTTAGGCTTAAAGTAGAAGTATGTTACATACTCAAACTAGAATCAATTTAAAGTTCAATTAGATTCAACTTAGAAGTTTAAACAGAAATAGAAGTGAATTTACATTAGCATATTAATTGCCTTAGAATTTAGTTAGATTGTATGTGCACTAGCAATCATAGAAGTAAATTAGAGTTGAATTAGTTGTTAATTAGAATTGAATGAGAAACAAATGTCGGTGATCAGTAGTATTCCAGGATCAAACCAAAACCTTGAGAACACCAACACCAAAAAAGAAACACATAAACAAAGAAACCAACAAATACATGGCAAAACCAAAAACAATCAGACCCATGGAGAGGGACCCAGGAGAGGCTGGACAGGAGACATAGATCTGAACTTCTTGGCCATTTTTCTTTGACAGGAGACAGGTCATAGGAAGTCCTAGGACTTAATAAGGGAGGTCCTTCAAGGTCCTAGGACCTGCCCAGAACCAAGAACCAAGATTGCAGCAAGACTCTTTGGACAATCTTGGTTCTTGACAAGGGGAAGGCCCAGAACCAAGAACCAAGAATATCCAAAGAGTCTTGCTGCAATCTTGGTTCTTGGTTCTTGGCTCTGGGCAGGTCCTAGGACCTCCCCAGACGTAGTGGTAGCATATCCCTATCTTACTGTAGTACTGTAGAACTATATATAGAACTGTAGTACTATAGTACTGTAGAGAATGCGCAGGCCATTTTGTTTCCCAGAAGATGTGAACATGTCGAGATGACTTGTGCAAAATGCTCGTATATATTTATAATTGTTATATATATATATATACAAATTAGTGATAAAAGCATGCAAATTCCAGTAATAATACTATATAATATATATATATCATTATATATCTATATCAACAATTACAATAAACATGTTACTATAGAACACAAACGGTACGCTTTTATGTTGGTTCTATCGGGCATGGATTGTTCACTTGTGAGGGCAATTCGAGGCCCCTTCCCCATCACAACACCTTAAGAACGAAAGGAATTGGAATCCCAAAGTACCCCGGAAAATGGGTTGTCTCGTACCTGCATGTTGTTCGGGTCATGCGCCAGGCTTCCAAGCGACCTGGGCTACCTTGTCGGGTCCAAGCGACCTGGTTTAGGGTGTTCTTGTGACCTCTTTCCCACGCGACGCAAATAAGCACGCATCGGCTTTTTCGTTCCAAGACACTGAAGAGGTGAAGAACACCACCGAGGGCAGCGACATCACTGGTGGGTGTAGCAAGCCTCACGATGAAGAACATGAGCAAAGAAGTGCCCCCGACAAGAAGCTACTGGGGGCTCCTGGCATCGCTACTAGGAGCAAGGATGCCACTAGGGGCTCCTGGCCTTACTGCTAGTAGGAAGAATGCTACTAGGAGCAAGGACGTTACTGGGGGCTCCTGGCCTTACTAGTAGCAAGAATGCTACAAAGGAACAGGAAACTACTAGGGGCTCCTGGCATCGCTAATAGGAGCAAGGACGCTACTAGGGCTCCTGGCCTTGCTCGTAGCAAGAATGCTACTAGGAACAGGAAGCTGCTAGGGGCTCCTGGCATCGCTACTAAGAGCAAGGACGCCACTAGGGGCTCCTGGCCTTACTAGTAGCAAGAAGGCTACTAGGAACAGGAAGCTACTAGGGGCTCCTGGCATCGCTACTAGGAGCAAGGACGCCACTAGGGGCTCCTGGCATCGCTACTAGGAGCAAGGACGC